TCACAAAAGGGTTTCCAGGACAATCGATCCTGGCATCAGGGACCGTCAGGGACTCCACGAGCTGGGGCGTCGCGGTTCGGTGCCACTTTCACTGTCGTTTGGGTCCACGGCCCGCCAGCCCGCCAAGGAGCGCGTGCGGCAGATACCGCCGGCAGGCAGACAGACAGACAGACAGACAGACAGACAGACAGACAGACAGACGGACAGACAGACAGACAGACAGACAGGCAGACAGGCAGGCAGACAGACAGGCGGACTGGTGGACAGACAGGCGGACCGAAAGGATGCGCCAGCAAGCCAACTCGGTGAAACAGGACGTCGTTTTTCAGCTCCTCCATCGATTTGTCTGCCCAGATAGACGGCCTCCTCCACCGGCACGCTGCCCCGCTGCAGCGGAGGGTGGCCGTGGCAGGTGCCGCGGGAGGACGCCGTCGAGAGGGTGCGGTGGTGGTGGTGCTGGTGGCGCCGGTGCCGGTGATGGTGGTGCTGGTGGTGCTGTTGGTGGTGGTCTTGGTGGTGTGTGGTGGTGGTGGTGGGTGGTGGTGGTGGTGGTGGTGGTGGTGGTGGTGGTGGTGGTTGGTGGTGGTGGTGGTGGTGGTGGTGGTGGTGCTGTTGGTGGTGGTGCTGGTGGTGCTGTTGGTGGTGGTGATGGTGGTGGTGGTGGTGGTGGTGGTGGTGGTGGTGGTGGTGGTGGTGGTGGTGGTGGTGGTGGTGGAGGAGGAGGAGGAGGAGGAGGAACCGGCCACCGGGGAAGTCCAATGTCTGGTTCGTCTCCAGGAGGCATAACCCCTCAAATGCATATTGATGTTCACATCGGCCCCGCCGTGGTACAAGGTACCGCACGCTGCCGGGCGGGCAGACGGATAGGCACACAGACAGAGAGACAGACAGACAGACAGACGGACAGACAGACAGGCAGACGGACACACCGGCTTGGTGCGCACGGACGGTGATTTCTGCTGATCGCTGCGAGAGAACCCTGCGGGATTGATTTGTGTTCATTGGATCGCCCCGTGCACGGCCCCTTGCCCGGTGTGGGAGGGGAAGGGGGAGGGGGAGGGGGAGGGGAGGGGTAGCGCATGCCGGAAAGGACTGTTGCGCAGTTCGGTAATGACGCGCGCAAATGCACACACACTGCAGGCCGTCTCTCTATCTCTCTCCGTCGCACTCGCGAGGCACCCCGTAGGGGCGCGAGAGAGACAGAGCGACGAGGCGACGGCCACGCACCTGAATCGGTCCGCAGATACTGATCAGGAAAGCCTCGGCCGGGCCAGCCACCGACCCCCCACCCCGACCCACCCCAAAGCACGCCGAGCTACGCGCCAGCGGCGCCAGCCGACCGCGGACTGGTCTGGAGTTCGGCGGGGAAACGGGTTCCAGTTTTCGCGCATCTCGTCGGCCTGGTCGGCCAGGCAGGCAGACAGGCGCAGGGGTGGAAAATTAGGCCAGCGACATTGATGGAAGCGAGCCAGGCCGAGCCGCAGCCAGGCAGGCAGCCAGGCAGGCAGGCAGGCAGGCAGGCAGGCAGGCCGGGGGGCGTTAGTTAGTTAGGGTGGGAATGGTGTGTTGGTGGTCCTGGAGGTGTAAATAGGGCCGGAAATGGGTTGCGTCCATACTGAGGTTGGCAATGGTGGGGTGGCGGGGTGGAGCCGGCAGCGGCGGCAGCCAGCGCCACGAGTGAATGGGTGTGCAATGAGCAGAATGGCTGTGGCGGGGGCGGGGCAGAGCGGGGCGGGGCGGGGCGATATTGATGGCCTGATTGCTCGCTGCAGTGCCCGGTGTGTCTACACGCGAAGGTGTCGACCATGGGAATGAGGCCCGCGCTGCACAGCGTGGCCCAGCGTGCGCGTCGGCGCGTCGTCGGAGTGAAAAGCACCGCGAATTCCAACAACACGGCCACGCTCGCCGTGTTGTTTCGCCGCTCCCCCTCGCCAAACATTTGCAGGAAGCGGCCGCGCCACGCCACTGCTGCCTCAGCGCTGCTCCGCGCTGCTCTCGCGGATGAATGGGGAATCCATCTTCGTTTTCTTTCTTTCTTTCTCCCTTTCTCGTTTCACGGCGGCCTTCCCTCCCTCGCGGTGGCGCCGCTCTCTCTCTCTCTCTCTCTCTCTCTCTCTCTCTCTCTCTCTCTCTCTCTCTTCTCTCACTCTTTCTTTCTCTCTCTCTCTTTCTTTCTCTCTCTCTCTCTCTCTCTCTCTCTCTCTCTCTCTCTCTCTCTCTCTCTCTCTCTCTCTCTCTTTCTCTCTCTCTCTCTCTCTCTCTCTCTCTCTCTCTCTCTCTCTCAGCAACAGCCTCCTCGTAAAAATGAGTAAGGAGCTAAAGTCCTTTTTCCGGGGTGGATAAATAATGAAACGAAAGAGAGGCTCATGGAGTGTGAAGGATTAGCGCCCGACAAGCTCGTCTCCACACCCACTGCATCGCACTGACCCTTCCCCTACACTGGATGGCCTCGCATAAAAATTTACACAGTCCGCAGCGGCGGCCCGCCCCAACCCTTTGGGCCCTGTGGCCCGTGCCTGTGGCCCAGGGCTGTGGCCAACGCCTGTGGGCCTTGTGGGCCTTTGGCCCTTTTGGCGGGCCAGCGCTCCATCATCCAACGTGGGACAATGGCAGGGCACGGGGCAAGGGAGCCCCGCCGTGGAAGGGGCAAGTCAGTGGCCGACCACAATCACGACACATTTTACACTCTGTAAAAAAATTTGGTTTAGAATTATTTTTTTTTGCACTTAAGTGCAAAAAATTTGTAGGAGGCTGTGTTGAAAGTTTCGTTTCTCCACGTCAAGTCAATGACCTGCCACGTCATGGAGACCAACTTTCGTGCGCCCCGAACAAGTAAGTACACTATCTACTAATTACTCTTCCCCATAATTTTTTTTCAGTGGCAACAGGGCATATTACTTATGAAGTTTTTCGCGCAAATCTGTGCACAAAAAAAAACCACCAGAATTTAGAGTGAATAAATTCTTTTTACAGGGTACAGTGGCGGTGTGCGACAAATTCATCGCCAGCGTCCCCGTCCCTGCCTGGCCTGGCCTATGGCGCCTGATTCCGAGAGTCGTTTTCGTCGCTCCGTCTCTCCCGCACCCACACGGGACGCCCCATGAGTGCGAGAGAGACAGAGCGGCTCTCGGAATCAGCCTCACTCGTCACGTCCGCCGCGTCGGGGCGCCAGTCGCCGGATGTCGCTATCGGCAGCACCAATAACGGCACGCCTATTTACACCACTGCACCGCTAGCGCCCCCCCCCCCCCCCCCCGGCCCTTCTCGACCACCACCACCACACTCATCACATCAAATATTTGACAAACAAAATTAGGTCCGCGCGCACGCGCGGCCGCGGCTGAGCGTTGTTCCGTGTGGCGGCGGCGTGCGCGCGGTCCGAATCGTATGGACACAAAAATCGGGTAATCGCGTAATGTCATTACATCCTCGGCGCGCGTGCCGGAAAACGCCATCGCCGGTAATGGAGTTAGTACCGCGCAACAGTGTCCTTCCTTTCCCGCCGCGAGAGAAAAATCAAATTGCAGCTGGATATTGGCGGGCTGGACGGACGTCGCGCCGCATTTGACTGCCGTACATGGCAAGTTGTGGGGAAATGTTGGGTCGTGGCCCCCCCCCTCCCCTAGGGTTGCCATCCGTCTCCGCGTGTGAACCGCTGATAGCACGGCCGGGGGGCAACCCGTCTAGTTTATGGCCTGTTTGTTCGGCAAGACGCAAGTGCAATTAGTGGATTTATATACGTGTGTGTGTGTGGACGTGTGTGGGCGCGCATGTGTGAGTGTGTGTTTGTGTGTGTACGTCTGGGACGCTGACGACCCATTTATTCGGCGGTAGACGCAATTTGTCATGTGGGTGTGCGACTGTGTGGGTGAAAGGGCAACTCACGGGGTTTCTAATGAGAAGCTGATTTGTGGTGTGTGTGCGTGTGCATGTGTGTGAGTGAGGGACTACCTCACGTGCCCGTGTCTGTTTGAATTGAATACCATCAGAGCACGTTTTGAAAACTTGACCCTTTTTTTTCAAGATGACCGTCTAAGACAACCCCAGGAGACTTCGACGCAGGTCGAAGTCCGGCGTCTCAAGAACAAGAAAACCATCTTTCGGATTCGCAACCCCTTTTTCGCTGATGGCTATTGACATTTTCATAATTTGGTTGCACCGGTTTGTAAATGGTCACTGAGTGTGTCACGAGGACGGGGAGACTCCCAGCCACAACAAAATTGACAGATCGATTTTTTTTTCACAATAAAAAATGAAAAGGAACAGGAATGGAGTGTGCGATGGCAGTGGACAAACAAGGGACACAATAACAGACAACAAAATGCAAATTCTTGGCTCCGCGCTCGCAGCGCTACGTACTCATCCCAGCCTCTTCCCAGTTTCGTCCTCATTTTGTTTTGCATTAATTCACCGGCGCCTCCCCCCCCCCCCTTCCTCCCCTCTTCCCCCCACCCCCACCTCATTGTGTCGTGTACAAACGCGTGGAAACGCCCCGCCGTTTTTATTTCGTATTTATAATTTGCCCGCTGGATTTATGACCGTTTTGAGCGCACGTTTCCCGCCAAACAACAACAACAACACCCGTAACAAGAACAGGGCGGACAACAACAACAAAAACATCAGGCAGGAGCACGGGTCGGTGTGTGGAAGTTCGCTTCCCGCAGCGCGCGTGGCGCCAACCCCCTCCCCCCTCTCTCTACCCCCTCCCTCTACCCCCTCCCTCTCCCACTCCTTGACGAGCAGTCCGATCATCTGGCGGGTGAGTAATTAATTAATTTTTGGAGGGCAGACGAATAGCAATGAGGTGGGTTAGGGTGGGCGCGTAATTGGGCGTGGATCGTTATCAGATTGTTGTTATCATAGTCGCGAGATCGGGCCTTGCCGTGTCTTGGAGGGGCTGCTAGAGGTGTTCCAAAACTGAATCGAATCGAATCTGGGATGCTTCGATTCAAAAACGACCCAAAAACGTGAAATTTGAAGGTTTTCTGCTTGTGGCCTACCTGTCTATGATGACGGGGTCGGACGGCGTTTCGTTCCTATTTCCACAGCTCTTCTTGTCACAACACCGACTGAGGAAGGAACAAAAGTAAAAAGGTAAAAAATCAAGAACTTACGTTCATTTTCGCAAAAAAAAAGTGAGATGGTGGTTGTTTGGACTCACCTGCACATGACTTCGTGTGTAAGGAGGACTCGGCACATTTCGGGGTTCTTGTCTTGGCCTTCGTAGACGATCGCCTGCAACCGAAAGAAAACAAAACAGCCGTGAAAAACGACACGACACCAGCAGCTGCGGATGATAGATGGGAAACCGAATCGTCGGCTGATGTCAAGGTCAATTTGAAGGCCATCTAATTGGGATTCTGTCTGGCTGGGCGCACTCCCCTTGGCCAGAAGTTGTTAGCCCGACCCGCAATGACCCCAACGGTGCGGCCCCCACCTACCCGCCCCCAATGTCATCTCTCTCGCTTTATCTCTCTCCGTCTCTCTCTCACTCTCCATCCACCGCGCGTCCCGCTCGTACTCTCCCCTCAGGCCGACGGAACGGAAATGACCGAAATGACCACCCGGAACGCATGTGAAATGCACTGCCACTATACCGCACTGCTTCTTCCTCTTCTTGCTTCCTCTTCACTTCATCTTCTTTACTCCTCGCACAAAAGCAGTCGCATCCGATTCGCGGAATAAGAGCAACCTTTAATATTAACCCCCGCGCAGCTATGGCATGTGTGTGAGCAAAGCAACGCCGCCCCGCGCATGCACGCGCACCTTGGATTAGGGAGGTAATCCCACGCGTGGTCCTCGCCCCGCCCCGCCCCGCCTCACCCCGCCCCGCCCCGCCCCGCCCCGCCCCGCCCCGCCACGCACGCCCCCCTCCTGTCCATTATTCAGACTTTGCTTATGGCCATTGAGTAGGGGCCGGGCAATCGCCATGAGGTGAGGGGGAGCGGGGAAGGGGTAGTGCAGATCGGGTCGCATCCACTAACTACGCGGTGTCCTAGTTTGTCAGGCCGTCCCAGCCAGTGGTGTAGCGCGGCGAGCAGGTAGAGCTTGACCGAAGGGGCGGCCTCCCCGGCCTGGCTAGCGGATACGGGACACCGCCAAGCGACGGACAACCCCGCAGGCATCCCGACGGTTTGCCCGGGCACCGCGCACCGCACCCCCGGCGGGGCTTCGGGTATCGAGTAAAATGATCTCAGTCCTAGTTACGGGTCTTGTGGGCGGCCAGCGCAGAGCAGTAGCAAAACCACCACCACCACCGATGATGACGATCACCACCACCAGCAGACCACCACCGCACAGTGGGCCAGAAGACCGGTGGGGCGGCCAAAACCCCAGACGCGTTTCGTGCTCCAGAGTCGCTAAATGGGACTCGAACCCAACGTGTGACCCCACCAATGGATTGCTCTCCGAACGAGGAATCCATTGGTGGGGTCACACGTTCGGTTCGAGTCCCATTTAGCGACTCTGGAGCTCAGGACGCGTCTGGAGTTTTGGCCGCCTCCACCGGTCCTCTGGCCCACTGTGCACCGTCACAAAAATGAAGAAAGAAACAAACCTCAAAAAAATCTTGACGTCGGCCCCGAGTTCAAAAACCAGGGAAATTTTTTTCCGCTTTTTTTTCTCTCCGCGCCCTTGCTGATAGTTCCCCCATCAGACCGTCCTGCTGGTCGTCGCGGCGGCATGGCACGGCATGGCACGGCATGGCACGGCATGGCACGGCATGGCACGGCATGGCACGGCATGGCACGGCATGGCACGGCATGGCACGGCATGGCACGGCATGGCATGGCATGGCCCTCGGCCGTCTCGACCGCCTCATCTTCATCATCGCACGCTCGCGTCCTTTTCGGCTAACTAGACAGGGAGGGTGTGGCGGGGTGTGGCCAGATAGGACCACCTTAACCTCGCCCTGACCCTCCAAAGTAACTTCATCCCCTCAGCCTCCCCTCCCCCTACCGCGTCTGGAACCATCCGTCTCTGCAGGCCGGCGCAGAATATCTAAAATGTAATCACGTGGGCCACGGCGGGCCGGGGCGGGCCGGGCAGGCCACGGCACCGCCACCCCTTCGGGCCTCCGGGCCTTCGGGCTTAGATTCCCGGCCGGAGATACTGCCGTTCATCTGGATAGCAGCCTCGCGATGAAACCATAAAAAACAAATTCCAGCGCGGGGTCCGCGAAAAAAAAGGACACTCACCTGTTTGGTCACTGCGTCGATTAACCGCACGTAGATGTCCTGTTCTTGTCTGACTCCTGGAACGCAACAAAGAAACAGACGCTCAAAAATCAGGTGTCTTATCCTTTGAAACAATCATTTTTAAACATTTTTAGCTTTTTCTGAAAGAGTGGCGATACGAACCATTGGCGTAGAGCAGCTGTAGCCTATAGTGAATTCCGTTGTTTGTTTTCGTCTCGTCGACTTCCTGGAAACAGAGAGGGACAGACGGCGGGATTGAGACGCTGCGAAGAGAGAAGGCACATGGCGTGTTGATGTCGAATAA